CGTACACTCCAGGCGCATACACATACCTGAGGAAAACATGTCCTGGGTGCTGCTGGGCTGAATCGTACCTAGTTGCGAAGTTCCATGTTTTAAGGTTGTTGGACAATTTGAAAACACGAGATGAATATATAATAAGTCATTGGGATTCCTTGAAGAAATCATTGATTTTGCTGAAATGTTTTCCAATATAGTTTAAATAAATTGACTTGTTTGCTTCTCTGGCTATCATCTGATTAGTATAACAAGCCTCCTTTTCCACCATTCGTAAGAATTTAGTTCCTAAACAAGCAATCCTCTGGCCACAACACTGAAACACAGACTTTTCCAGAACCGACCAATGTGTGCCAGGAAAGTATCTTTATGGGAGCAAAACAAACTTCACTTTATGTCATCAGCAGGACAGAAAGATTTTCCAGAGACCAGAAAATATGCATTCAATATCCAAGGACACATGAAAATGTACTGTGCACCAGGTTCTGGTTAGACTTTTATAGAGGGGAACATCCTTTTTCTTTCTCTTAGATTCTCAGGAATCAGTGTTACTGAAAATCTGATTTCCATAGACTAGGCAGAAGGGGGCACAATGCCAAGATTATTGGAGATAAAATTCCAGAATGCTAGACTGAGGGTCAAGGAAAAAGACATGTAGTTACCGGTCTTTTTAATTCCTTTAATCTTACACCCTTGAAACAATGGATTATTACCTTCGATTGTTTTTTTTTAATTTCAGATGCCGCTTGAAAGTTGTGAGATTATCTACTTAGCAGGCTTTCCTGCCTAATGGAGTTCTTATAGCTAGAATGAAATAAATGCACGATAATTGCTTCTAATCTCCTTTTATTTTCTCCAAACAGGTGGGGGAACATTGTGATCAGTGCTCTTAGAGTCCGTTTTTGAGCCTTCTTATGATTTCCCACGACTTCCATAAGAAGCAGATTTGGAAGTAGTTACAAAAGGAAAGACAGCTGGAAAAAGTTGGTGAAAGATGCTGTTTTGCTTGGAAATGTATTTGGGGTCATTTGTAGGAGGAAAGTCAGTACTTTCTCTTATGCAAACAAGGTCAGTTTTTAAAATCCGGGAGGTGTGCAATTATGCTACAGTGTGTTTACTCTGGGTATAAGTCACAGATACTTACAACAGATCCATTTTTTTTCTGTTTATAATAAAGTTATAGCTTTAATGAAAGCCTGAATTACAATTCGAATGGTTTATGAACCATATTGATTTAGTTATATTTGCCAAATACTCTTTTAAGTTTCTCACCTCAAATTAATATGTACATTTGGAATGAGTGGACTGGGGACTTACCATTGTATGTTACATATCTGGGGGCTCTCCCAGCCATCGCCCTGGCCCATCCCTGTTTTCTTTTTTCTAATGTGTGCCTTTCTCTGTTAAGGCCCAGATAAGCTGCCCCCAGGTCAAGTACTCATGAATGTCACAGTCCCCAACTGGGGAACAGTCAGGCAGGTGAGTTGGGGGCAGAGGCATTCCACATCCCCCAAAAGTAGGGTGGGGGGAGGAGCAGGATAATAAGGGAGCCCTGTGCTGGTCTAATCAACTGCTGGGGAGTGGCGGTGACCCCAGTAATCCCAGGTGCAGAATGGTGGGGATGCCCCCACCTGAGGGAAACCAAGGCTCTGTATGCCCAAGGAGGGTCCAGGGAAAGCAGAGGGGACAAGAGCTCATGCCCCAGGCTCGTGGCTCTCCTGGGAACCACCCCCAAGAGTGAATGCTTATGGTGGGGAGGGTCTGGACAGGGTCCCCTTGGCAGACTTGCTGTGAGTCGGGGTGCAGGCTCTGTGAATGGCAAGTGAAGTTCTGGGTGGCTCAGGTCCTCCCCGGCTCAGGCCCCAAGCTGAGCTTGTCAGAGCCTCCCCAGCACACGACCTAAGCCCACTCAATTGCCTCCACTCTGTGGAAAGTAGCCCAGAGCCGATGGGACCAGAAACCAGCAACCACGATATCTAGCCACAGGTCCTCACAGGGGCCTCCCCAGGCTCCATGCACTCAGCCCCTCTCAGGCAGCTCCCCAAGACAGCATGAGGATCAGAAGCCCATTGTCTTGGGGGAGGCACCTGCTTTCTTCCACATCTGCGCCGCATCTGCTGTGGGCGAGACCAGATGGGAAGGTGGGTCAGCTCCTAAGCGCCCTGGGCCTCAGGCTTTTCAGAGGGAACTTCTCGGAGTGGATACTGTGGGGTGGAGAGCCATGTGAGCTAGTTCACGAATTCAAGAGTACAAAATGTTTTCTTTTATTTCTATAACTGAGTTTAATTTCTATTTTGAGCCCCATTCTACCAGGGGTATAGACTAAATCTAGGCTGAGCATTTATTCAACCCACACATTCATCCCTGAAGCTGAAATGAACACTGTTCCAACTCTCCTTGTGATTCAGAAGCCACTCCAGGGCCTTTAAAGCTTCAGTCCATTACGAATAACATCAGCTTTTGCTGAGCAATTAAAAATGCTTTTATGATGGAAAATTTCATATATTTATGAAGATGGACGGATAGCATATGCTATGCTAACCCATATACCCACCACCCAGATGTAGCAATTAGCAACAAAATGTCTCTCATGTTATACTTAGGCTCCCACTCATGAACCTTGACAACTGGGTTAAAACTGGAAGCAAATCCCAATATCATACTATTTCATCCATAAATCCTTTGACATAAGTCTCTGAAAGATATGGATTGGGGGGGGGCGCTGAGAATAGCATCCATTTATTGTTTCCTAGTTCTTTTAAGTCAGGAACCAGCTTTAGGTTAATTGGATCTTCTGCTCAGTGTCTCTCAAGATAAGGATTCCTTCTGAAAAACGTTGATAATATCATCATAATACTTAAAAAATTAATAGTAATTCCCTTATATTAAATGTTCTTGGTTCAGTTTCTCCAATCATCTCATCTACTTTTAAAATAACTGCTCTATTAAGATCAGAATCCAAAAAAAGTTTCTGTACATTGTATTTGTTTAAAGAATCTCTTAAATCTCTTGAACCTATAGATTCCCACTGCTTCTCTGATTTTCATGCAATTAAAAAAAAAAAACTCCTTATCACCTGGATCTAAGAGTAGAGAATTCTTTGGGAACATGTTGGTCACTTGGCCTGCAGAACAGTGCTTCTCAAACTTGAACGTGCATGGAAATCCCTGGGGATCTTAAGACGTACGTTCTAGAGGGACGGGAGTAGAGCTTCCGAGGCCTGCATGTCTAACAACTTCCCGGGTGATCCGTATGCTGCTAGTGCAGGGACCACTCTCTGAACCACAAGCCTGTTGAGCTCCACGCTACAGATTTTGCTGAGTTTGCTGACTGCATCCCTGAAGTGTTCACCTGTGTCCTGCATTTCCCATAAATTGGCATCTTGAAGCTTGACTGAATTCCTCTGGTCAGTTGTTTTGGCAAGAATCCTTCACAGGCAGTGCTGTCCACTTTCCACTGCATGGCATCGGGAGGACTGTCATGTCTGGCTGCCCCACTTCTAGTGATGTTAGGTGTGTAGAGTGGTGGGCCTGACCTTTCCATTCTTGAGATCTCTGTCAGTGGTTTTTTTTTTTTTTTTTTTTTTTTAAAGATTTTATTTATTTGTCAGAGAGAGAGAGTACACACAAGCAGGCAGAGAGGCAGGCAGAGAGAGAGGAGGAAGCAGGCTCCCTGCCGAGCAAGGAGCCCGATGCGGGACTCGATCCCAGGACCCCAGGATCATGACCTGAGCAGAAGGCAGTGGCTTAACCCACTGAGCCACCCAGGTGTCCCTCTGTCAGTAGTTTTAGTAGCCGTTGATAGAACCATCGTCCAGATTAGTGGTTCTTAAAGCTGACTGCATGTCACCTAGAAGGATTCTAAAAAACGCTGGTGCCAGAGTCCTTTTCCAAATCAGTGAGGGACTCAGGCAGGGGGACAAGGGAAGAAGGAGAGAGAGAACATGTGTGTGTACTTGGGCACCTGCGCGTGTTTTAAGCCCCCAAAGAGGTGATTCTAATAGGTTCCACATAGGGGGCTGAAAAGCAATAGGTCTAGGTGACTTTTTTTTTTTCATTCTGGTTTCCAACCTATCAATCTATCCTTTTTTCTTCACTTATTTTGCTGAGCTCTTAATGGGTAGAGGTGCTCTTTTAAAGACTGAGCCAGGTGACATGTTACAAAATAAATCAGGTCCCACTCCTAGCAAGAAGCCACTCACGACTCTCCACACAGCCTCCCGTGCTCCCAGGGACCCACCTCTCCAGGGACCCCAAGCTACTTTTGAATGTCCAGAGCCTGTCTCCCCACCAAGGCCACTCCCTCATGTCCCACAAGCCTCACAGGTGATCCTGGGGGTGACGTGGATGGGCTTTTAATTTCTGTACTACTTCACCTTTTTTAAGCAAGCGACGGTTTTCTTCTAAAAAAGCTATTTTCATTTTCGGAGGAAAAAGAAAGTGTGAAAAAACCCACCGTGCCTAACTCTGCACTTTTGCCTTAAATCCTAATGAGTCATCGAAAATCCTCTCGAATCCTGTCTCCAGGTTCCGGAGGACACCTGAATTAAAGTCCCAAGATTAATTTGGAAAGGGAAAAGCATCAGCCTCCCCTAATCTCACCCAGTTTTGCCAGTCTGGGCTGTGCTGGCAAGAGGAGGGAGGAGGATCTGTCTGGATAAAAAGGGAAAGGATTGGAAAGCTAGAAGGTCATCACATGCTACAGGAGGAAAAGCTGGTCAGAGTCTTCTTTTTGAATTCTTTCTATCTGGCTTCCTCACTTATCCTCTCTCTATATTTAAAAATGTATTGGTTATTCCATTCGGTGTTGAGAACTCCAATGTGTGACGATAAACTCCATTTGTGAGACGGAACACGGAACATGGGCAGCCTTGGGGATGAGGAACAGCTGTGATTTGGGGCACAAGTCCAAAGCACGACTTCGCACTGCTCTGTCCGGTTGCATTTCTCTCCCCTCGCTCGCTGTCTGTGAAGAAGAGTCTTCATCAGTCTTTCTCTGTCGGTTCGCAGGAAGCCGTAAGCATGGCGGGGAAACCCAAGCTTCACTACTTCAATGGCCAAGGCCGAATGGAGTCCATCCGGTGGCTCTTGGCTGCAGCAGGAATAGAGGTAAGACGCTGGATTTATTCGTATTATTTTCATCATGGGGTCGTTGAGCACTTCCTTGGGGAGCAGGTGTAGGAAACGCCTATGATTCCTGACCAAAAAGCCAATTTTGCCACCTGCCCTTTAGATACTAGGCTGTGAGTGAATGAGTTAGTTCTTTTAAGTACGCACTCACATATCGTGGAAACTGGTTGTGGGGACTGAGCGGACCCACGGTGAAGTAATCATGACTAATAAAGAAAGGAAGGGAGGGAGGAAGGAGACAAGGAAGGAAGGAAGGAAGGAAGGGACTCGTTCTAGCAAACAGCCTCTTTTCATTTCATCCTTGTCAGCCAAGTGTTGGATTTATTTAACTACATTTGTCTCATGAATATTGAGAAACAGGTAGTTTTCTTTAAATGCACAGAAGGGTCTCAGAGATACTGATGTAAGAACATATCATTCATTACCAAAAATATAACCATCCTATACTTTAATGAATTTTAAAAAGACTATTTTCAGGGTGCCTGGGTGGCTCAGTGGGTTAAAGCCTGTGCCTTCAGCTCAGGTCATGATCTCAGGATCCTGGGATCGAGCCCTGCGTCAGGCTCTCTGCTCAGCAGGGAGCCTGCTTCCCCCTCTCTCTGCCTGCCTCTCTGCCTACTTGTGATCTCTGTCTATGTGTTAAATAAATAAATAAAATCTTTTAAAAAAATTCTATTCTCAACGTACTTCAAAGCTGCTATTGAAGTTTATACTGACCTTTCAAAGATAAATATTTGTATCTGTATACACATTCACTGTGAATATAAAACAATTAGCCTCTTCTGTAACCCATGCAGAATTTTTTTTTTCTAGTCACTCCTAAGTGGTTTCTTAGACCCAAAGATGAAAGAACAGGGAGTTTTCTTCACACTCAGTGGTTTAACGTGCAAATAGCATGTAATCCCACTCACTTGGTACTTGTTAGGATGCTCTGTGTTCTGTTTGGGCCCTGACAGTAGACATAACATTCATTTGTTCACTAGGAGTGCAGATACCGTATATGAACGCAGCTTAGGACACAGTTTATTATTTAAATATTTTATGAAACATACCATTTTATGGTATCTGGTGGTACAGAGGAATGAAGACATTTTAGGAGAAGAGAACAGATGTTTTATACTAGAATCTGAAGAAAGCCATGAAGCTGCTTCCCAGGAAAACGCCCCATGTGCATATAATTGTAGGGACTCCAAGAAGCCACAAAATACACAACTGTATCCTAGGCCCCCAGGTTAAGAATTTCGGCTATAATAAAGCAGCAAATCCTTGTGAAAAGCTCATTATTACTTTTTTCAAAAATTATTTTGTTAGGAATTTTCTTAAACTTTAAATTAAAATTTTGAAAATATGTAAAGTATAAAGAATGTTATAATAAACAAACATGATGCCATTATGTGGAATGAGAAATTACTGTTATTTTGTCATATTTGCCTTCAGTCTTTTTTTTTTTTTAAAGATTTTTATTTATTTGACAGAGAGAGAGACAGGGAGAGAGGGATACACAAGCAGGGGGAGTTGGAGAGGGAGAAGCAGGCTTACCACCTATCAAGGAGCCTGATGTGGGGCTCCACTCCAGCACCCTGGGATCATGACCTGAGCCAAAGGCAGATGCTTAATGACTGAGCCACCCAGGTGCCCATTGCCTTCAGTCTTAAAAAAAAGGGGGGGGTAATATATTCATATACTCTTAACAGATAAAGCTAAAATTCGTTCATTCATTCTTTTTTTTTTTTTTAAGATTTTATTTATTCATTTGACAGACAGAGATCACAAGCAGGCAGAGAGGCAGGCAGAGAGAGAGGAAGGGAAGCAGGCTCCCCGCTGGGCAGAGAGCCCGATGCGGTGCTTGCTCCCAAGACCCCGAGATCATGACCTGAGCTGAAGGCAGAGGCTTTAACCCACTGAGCCACCCAGGCGCCCCCAGATAAAGCTAAAATTCAGTCCAGCCATCACACCCATGTCCACTTAAATAACCGCTATCCAGTTAGTCCAGCCTTTATATTTTTACATTTATGTGTGTCCTCACCAAACACTGACTTCTGTGCCTTTTGAAAGAATTTATGTGTTTCCCTTTGTGAATTCTATATTTTCCTCCTTGCACTCAATATTATGTCTTTGAGATCCATCCATACTGAGATGGATAAAAGAGAGAGGAATAAATGATGGCAGCGGGGAATAAGGGTCATTCCTTGATAATTATTTTATAAATCCCAATTTTTTTTTATAAATCCCAATTTTTATGTATTGTTGCATTAGCATTAGATCTGGATAAAATATTGCAAAGTACACAGGAGACAACGTGAACTCAAAACCCACCTATCAAAAACATTCTAATTTCTCCAGAGGGCGCACTATTTTTTAGTATATAATAATTTAAAAAAATTTTTGAACTTGTCATTTCTTCAAAACAATAAAAGGACAATTCTTTCTGAACCATATGAAGGTCCTTCCTGGATCTTCTGACTCCTCACAGTTTTTATATTCAGAGTTGATATTGTAGCTGGTCATAATTAGAAGAAAATTCTATAGTCAATATTGACCTTCCGTGCCTGATTTTTCCTTTTGATGTGAGTCATGGCAAATTTTCAAAAGTGAAATCCACATGCTCTCACATACACAACTTTGTTAAAATGGCCCTGCTTCATTTACTCTTAGAGCCCAGGGCCCCTCTTACAGTAAGCTTTCCAGCAAAAGCTATCGCTGAGGAAGACACACCCTTCAAAACAAAAACATTCAGGGGCGCCTGGGTGGCTCAGTGGGTTAAAGCCTCTGCCTTCAGCTCAGGTCATGATCCCAGGGTCCTGGGATTGAGCCCTCTGTCCAGCTCTCTGCTCCGCAGGGAGCCTACCTCCTCCCCTCTCTCTCTCTGCCTGCCTCTCTGCCTACTTGTGATCTCTCTCTGTCAAATAAATAAAATCTTTAAAAAACAAAACAAAACAAAACAAAATTCAGGTGGGAAACCTTTGCTGTGTGATCTGGTCAAACTCAGTCTAAACCTACCAGAAAATTCCCCGGATGGTATGTGGTCTGTGGAGCTTTGCTGTATCCCATGCTGGTCCATGGCCGCACCCAGATTATGAGTTCCTGGGTGCGGCCCTCTCCCCGGCCTTCTCTCAGGGATTGACCTGGTAACGCCTGGCTTGGAATTGGAGTTTGGGCTCCAAGTCCTGATCTTTTACAGCTTGGCCAAAGCAGATGGTAAAAGTTACCCTGGAGCACCTGACATGAGGTATTCGAGGAGAAATTGAAACCATAAAGTTATACTCCCCCCCCCATCACACTATATGAAAGTCGTAAGTAATATTCAAATTTAGGAAAAATGCTTTTTGGGAAGGTTTTATACCCTTGTTATCCCTATCTGTATTCTCATATTTGCTGTCAACTTTGGGGTGACTTTTTCCTATAAAAATTATCGAAATACAAATTACACAGTTAGCAAAATGATGCTATCTTTAAAATGTAGTGGGTTTGGAGGGAAGGGATTCTAGCCCTGGTTCTTCCACCTTTTAGCTGAGGGACTTTAGGGAAGTCACTTAACCTCTCTGGGCTTCATAAGCATCATGTGAAGGCTTGGAAAAGAAGAGCACCAAGAGTTATAGTTAATGCTGGTCTTCAAGGTTTAGGAATGAGGGTGATCTGCTATCTTGGTTTAATTTTAAATATCCAGGAACACCACCAGGGAACCACATTATCAATATCTTTTCTTAATATTTTTTCATCATTCCAAATTATACATGTAAAATTTAAAAATTATTTTTGTGACAATAGGGGTAGAATAGAATCTTTGGGGGAAAAAACTGTTTTCCAAGTACATGTTGGGTTTTCCATCTCTAATAATGATGACAGAAAGAATACAGAAAACTCATTTCATTTAAATTTTCTATTAAAATTATACTGTACAAAATGCACATGTCCAATCTATGGATGTGTTTTAAAGATAGATTTTAAAGTATCCAGAAGTTAACTGGTAATAATTTAACAAAACAGACATCTAAGACAAGATGTTGAAAGCAACAAGATACAAACTACACCTCGATTTTTGTTTCCTTAATGCCACAAAGTGTCTTTTGAGTTTACTCAGTACTATTGTTCCATTGCCACCACGTAGTTCCTGAGATTTGAGGCAATTTTATTTTTCTGTGTCTAAGCCTCTTGGGTTTAAAAAGAGAATATAGAATAGAATGATCAAACTAACACTTGCTTGTTCTCGAACCCTGGAAATGAGGGACAACAAACACCACCCAAGGGAAAGTTCTGAGGCAAACAGTAACAACGTTCAATATTGAGCCAAAGGTGAGAGTTAGTCTTCCTTAGATAGGATCTCTTTTAGCCATCATGACAACATCATGCGTAGGCAGTAGCTTCATTTTCACACATTAGGAAACTGAAATTAGAAGAGAGTAACTTATCTGAGCCAATGAAGGGGAGTAGTAGCCTGCTTTCAGATTGTGATCTGGGAAGTCTACCTGAAAGGCTCCGGCCACACAACAGGTGGTATCAGTATTACTCAGTCACCTGAATTCAGTAAACCCTTCACTTTGGTTTTATATAAAAACATCCTTAGGTCCATCGAACCCGGAAAAGGCCAGTATGCATTCAATAATTACTTGAAACATTGGTTTCCTTGGTGGTTAGACCTTTTACTTCTACTCAACTCTTTTTCCATGATATCAAAAGTAAGAATAACAATAAAAATGATAGTAGCAACATATTCTTATATTCTTTCTTTCGTTCTTTAGTTTGAAGAAGAACTTTTTGAAACACGTGAAGAATTTGAGAGATTAATCCAAGGTGAGGGAAAAAAAGGCTTGCATGTTAGCTACATTTGACCAAGGATGAGATCTCTGAGAGGCATGTGCGCACCCACACACACACACACACACACTCTAAGAGTGGAGAAAATTAGGCAGACAATATCTACGATATCTGTCAGGAAGGCAGCACTTGGGTCTTGAAACAAGCAAATGGGTGTTCACAGCAGGAGGAGCCCTGCCCCCAAGCTAAATTGTAATAATTTCAGCACCATCTCCTTGTTTCCTTAGCCCTAGGGATGATACTTTCTGCAGCTGTCACCATCATGATACTGTACTGTCCCTTTGTTGCCTCTCAGGTCTCCAGGACCTAGTCATCTTCTTTGTAACTCGGTATGCTTCAAGTAACTTCTGCCTCCCCCTGGGTCCTGGCTGATGTAATTTGGGGGCAGGAAGTGTCCTGATAGTGAAACCTGGAGGCAATTGCAGAAAAACCAGAATGTTCTTGCCATGGATTCAGTCCAGAGAACTGGCTCAACTTAAGGAAAAGTGGGAAAAGTGCTATCTTTACTGTTGCCTTTCTGAGGAAGCGTCAGACAGACTCAGACGGACGGAGGGAGGGAAGGATGGGGCAGAGAGTGGAATTCTTTTAAATTAAACCACTGCCCTTTTAAGTTGCCATTGTTGTGTAATGCAAGGATTCCCTGGAAGACTGAACAAGAAAGACAAAACAAAGAGCTGTCTCTCTGATGGGAGGCCGCTGGGACTCAGGTTCATGTAGGAGAGTTGGCATGGAACAACATGAGAAAAGTACATGGAGGGAAATGTCAAGGAGTGCTTTGAATTCCAGGTTGAGGTTAAATGTTATTGTCTTCTAAGTGAAGAGGAGTAATGGAAAGGCTTAAGCCGGTGTTATGACTCCAGGAAAACAAGCAGGCAGTGCATGTGGGAGAGATAAGAAGGGCCCATCTGCTCAGCATCACTCGTCATCTGGAAATGCAAATCAAAACCACAATGAGGGGTCACCTCACACCTGTCAGAATGGCTAAAACCAGTACCACGAGAAAAGACAAGTGTTGGTGAGGATGTGGAGAAAAAGGAACCCTCGTGCACTGTTGGAGGGAATGCAAGCTCCTGCAGCCACTATGGAAAACAGACTGGAGGTTCCTCAAAAAGTTAAAAATAGAGCTACCCTCTGATCGAGGAATCCCACTCTTTGGGTATTGACCCAAAGAATATGAAAACAGTAATCCGAAGAGATATATGCACTCTATGTTTATCGCAGCACTATTTGCAATAGCCAAATGATGGCAGCGGTCCAAGTGTCCACCAGTAGATGAATAGATAAAGAAGATGTGGTATCTGTATACCACGGAATATAACTCAGCGAAAAAAGGAATGAAATCTTGTCATTTGCAACGACATGGACCGACCTAGAGGGTACAATGCTAAGCAAAACAAGCCAGCCAGAGAAAGACAAATATGATATGACTTCACTCGTACGTGGAATTCAAGAAACAAGACCAATGAACAATGAAAACAAGAGACAAGCCAAAAAACAAAAACAAAAACCAAGCACAAAAAAAACCCCACCAGACTCTTAACTATAGAGAACAAACTGGGAGGAGGGTGGGGGATGGGTGAAATAGGTGAAGGGGGTTAAAGAGCGCACTCACCTTGGTGAGCGTGGAGGAATGCACAGAATTGGTGAATCCTTATATTGTATGCCTGGAACTAATAGAACACCGTATGTTAACTGTCCTGGAATTAAAATTAAAAAGCTTAATTAAAAAAAAAAAAGGGACATGGGAGCACTGGGTGTAGGGCATAAACAATGAATTTTGGAACACACACACACACAATTAAATTAAATTAAATTAAATTAAATTAAATTTAATTTAATTTAATTTAATTAAAAAAAAAAGAGGGCCCTGTGAGGGTTGAGTTAACAGCTAGGACATTATTAACAATGGTTTGGAGGGAAAGAGAGTCTCACCAGCAGGGTGGCCACAGGAATGGAGAATAAGTGATGAGAAAGGGACATTCTTGGCTAGAGAGAAAGCTTCTCTGCACTTTGTTGTATCTCCCAGAGGACTCAGCCATAAGTCTTGCCCTCCGCATGTCTTTCTGTGAATAAATGCATAAATATTTCTCCTTTTGGAGAAGTCTCTAATATATTTTAATCCTATTCAATTACGTAGTCCCATCTGTAGCACCTTAAGAGTTAAAGAAGACTCCGTTGCTTCCATCAGGGACAGTAAAGAGCCCAACTTTCCTTTGTACCTTTAAAGGTGGAACCCTGATGTATGAACAAGTGCCCATGGTCCAAATGGATGGAATGAATTTGGTAGAAACCAGAGCTATCCTACGATACCTAGCTGCAAAATACAACTTGTACGGAAGGAACCTACAGGAACAAGCCTGGTAACAACAACTACTTCTTACTTAAAACGAAATTTAAAAAAAAAAAAAAAGGAAATTCTAACCTTTAGTCATGTTAGCAATCCTATGTAGCTCTTGATGGAATGAAAATTCTTTTCTTGTTTTTTAATATCTTATTATGGAAAACTCTAACACATCAAAGGAGAGATAATGGTGAAATAAACTGTATGAACACATTTACTTTAAACAATTATCGATTTATGGCCAATTACCCAGTTTATTTCATTTTCTGATTCTGTATTGAGAACAAAGCAAGGACAAAAACCAGTGAAGGAAGTCTGCCTCTTCCTGTTGCAATCTTTGTTTCTCTCCACTAGGTGGGAGTAAAGCACAGGGTAAATCACAAGAACAAACTCAAAATTTGGAGTGGGAAGTTGGGAAACTGATTCAGGAAGTAGCCTTTGGAAACCACCTCCTTAGTCTCTGGTTCACCAGATAGCCCCCCTGCCCCCGCCGGCCCCCCAGTGTCCCACACATTCTTAATTTTCACATGTACACACTTGTCCCTTTGCAATGGGCAGACCTGTCTACAAACCAGCAAACAGTCTTGTCTTAACTGAATTTTAAAACAGCAACACTCAATTACAAATTATTGCACAGAATTAGAAAACTATTAGTTGGTAAACAACAAATAGTCCATTTTTACCAAAGGGGGTGTGTTTTAAATAAATTTCTCATGGTTTTAAAGAATATATATATATCTTCAGAAACAACTTTAAAATGCTTAAAGCAGTAAAATTTTTGAAATAGATCTTGTATTTTTAAATTTTAACATAAGCTTTCTCTTGCTTTCTAACCGAATCTAATTGCCAAATTTCTGCTGATTGCATCCCAGCAGTGTAGTTTAACCCATTCTTCTGTCTCTGTGTTTCCTGTCATTTGGTCGTTAGATATAGAGGTCTTATCAGACTCAAGTTCTAGTGGTTTTTGCAGCACTATTTCATAGGTATTGGTGCATTCCCCAATCAGGAAGCAAAAAATGTCTGCTTGTCCTTTCTTTATGATAGTAACAGCCATTGGTGTTCAGTGCTATCATTCCTTCTGCATTTATTATCTGGGATACTTCTACAAAGAAAAACTTTCCTTCATCTACCATCTGGTTATCTGGAATACAATTTCCTCTAGGAAAGACATGGTAGACTTTTGTTTACCAGTTTTCCAGATGAGTTGGTTCATCTGTGTCCTACCAATTAATTGTTATTGTTCTAGTGTCACTATGGGCTCTTCATTTTATGTATCTTTGATGCGTTTCAATTCACTTCAGTTGTTACTCTTATTTATGCTCAAATTGTCCTACCCCTGGCCAGTGGGAGCGAAGTGGCTCCTGGAATGTTTGACCTTTAGTGGTCTCTGATACTCCTTATTACCTCTTGGATAACCCAGATTAACCCGCTACATCTCTTTCCTTTTCTTTTTTTAAAAATTTAATTATTTGACAGAGGGAGAGAGAGATCACAAGTAGGCAGAGAGGCAGGGGGAAGCAAGCTCCCTGATGAGCAGAGAGCCCGATGTGGGGCCCGATCCCAGGACCCTGAGATCATGACCTGAGCTATTTGCTGCAGATACCACATCTGAGGGTTCTGTGAGCTAACAGGAATCAGCTGGATGGCACCCTTTCAGGGTCTCTCAGGCAGTTCTTCTCTCAGATGTCTGGTGCCTAGGTTGGGAGAGCTGGAACAAATGGGCCTGGCAGGGTATGTCTCTTCCTCCACATGACTTGACCAGCTTGAGCTTCTTCGATGAGGTGGCTGACTTCCCTCAGAGTGAAATTTTGGAGACTGCCAGGTGGAAGCTTAAGGCGTCTTATGACCTAGTCTTGGAAGTCTCAGAAATTACTTCCCCACATTCTGTTGGTCAAGCATGTCCCCGAGGCCCATTCAGATTCAAAGAGAGAATGAGACTTATTCTCAATGGCAGAAGTAGCAAAGAATTTCAGGCCATTTCAAGATACTCATTGCTATTCTAGGTTAAAGTTAAAAGAACTATGGATCCAAAAGATTAGGAGACTCACTTTGGACCAGGGCAGTGGTTTCCCAGTGCCCAGACCAGTAGTCTTTTCACTATGCCACGGTACCTTGTCTAACATGAAATCTATTTTTTGATTCATTCTGGCACAGAGATGTGAGTGGTGACAAGGGGGAACTTGTCCTGTCAGTCCTGTGCCTTCTTGAATTGTTCTACTAAGTTTGAGAACCTTCAATCCAGACAGAGAAGTTGTTGGCAGCATAGAGGTCCCTGGTGATCTATTCCTCAACATTTATAGACAGGGGTCATTTCACTGTTATTATAACTTTAAAATAGTCAAATATGATTTTTGCCTCATTTATGACTTTAGGATTATTTTAATACTTTGTGTGTGTTTTAATTAGCACTTACATCACACAGTTGATATTCACACTCACATAATTGCTCCCACACTTTAGTCCTATTATTTTTCTATTTCTCAAATTGATCTTAAGATCTCAGAGGAAGAGCAGGCAGGCAGAAATACTTGATTTTAACTCATGGGTCACTGAGATACCAGCCACGAGGCAGGAGGCACTCCAGCATTCGTTAACTTGTTTCTTTGGCTACTGAAATGATGGTTCCTTTATCTGCAACTCTTTTGAATTATGGACCCTTCTCTAGGATTGACACGTATGTAGAGGGCTTGAGGGACCTGAGCGACATGATTATGTTCTTTCCACTCTCCCTGCCTGGAGAAAAGGAGATGAATCTTGAATACATCCTTGAAAAAGCCACTACAAGATTCTTCCCTGTCTATGAGAAGGTAAGTGACAAACTTCTGTCTTGCCCTGTGACTTGGATCAAGGGGGAGAAAAAGCAATAAACTCTGAGTAGAGAACTTCAATAACCTCAAAGTAAAGAACTTCAGTGGATGAAAGATCCCAAAAACACTTTGTGAAAGCAAAACTTTTCCCTCCATTGCAGTTACAAAACAAGTCTGCCCTCCTTCCTCGCACCCCGGTCTTCTACATTTTGTTCTTTTTCTAAAGGATTTCATGAATAACTTCAGCAAAATTTGTGGTTCTAGTGCTGACAGAATTTCAGTTGCTTGATTTAATTCTGGAGTAAAAACCGGGTCTTATCAAGATGATTCTACGGGGGAAAAAAAAAAAACCCACACTAATTAGAGAGGGAGAGTGAGGGGAAAGGATGGATATTATTTATAAAATACACTTCATAGTACCAAGGCTCAGGGGACTTTATAAGGCTTATCAGAATTCTACACAATACTGAAAATGTTAAGAAAACAATTTTTCCCCAAATAGTACTACTCTTCACTGTCTCTGCATTTTCTTTGAAGATTTTATTTATTTATTTGACAAACAGAGATCACAAGTAGGCAGAGAGGCAGGCAGAGAGAGAGGAGGAAGCAGGCTCCCCGCTGAGCAGAGAGCCCGACTCGGGGCTTGATCCCAGGACCCTGGGATCATGACCTGAGCCGAAGGCAGAGGCTTAACCCACTGAGCCACCCAGGCGCCACTTAAGCGATTTTTATCTTGTAGTTTTACCAGTATCGACAATGGAATGAATGTTTAACATCACTATTCCCAATGGCTTAAGTTTTTGTTGTGAGATACTATGAAGTACAGAGAGTTCTCTTGTGGCTAAAAACAGTTATCATCATCATCGTCATCATCACCACAACAGAGCTAATCACCTGATGGTTCACTTCTGCTAAGTGCTTACTCTGTGCTAAGCACCGTGCCATACATTTTGCATGCATGACTCCGTGTCATCTTTTAACTCCAGGAAAGATGTGTCAATGTTATCCCCATTTTGCAGACGAAGCAAGGTTTGCCTGATGGCACACAACTCACCACACTGGGGCCTCTACTCAGGTCTCTCTACCTCCTCATCCCACGTCCAAGTGCCACAAAGTCACAGAGTTTGAGGGCTAGACAATACCGTAGTGACCTTCTACTCCAATCTTTTACATTCAATTGATTGTGACTCAAGGCGACCTCTAACTCAGAGCCCTATTAGAAGAAAATCTGCTTACAGAAATGAGGCGTGGGTCCCTGTGAGCAGGATGTTCTCCCACAAAAAGCAGCACCCTACTAAGAATCCTGACCTCAGATGGTGTGAGTAGAGAATCATCACCCCAGACCTGGGAGGACCATCAATCCTGGCTGTGGGGGTAAAATTATTCTATAAAGTTTCATAGAATAGGTACAGGGGATGTAATGAAAAGAAGACATAGGTGTGTGGAATTAGGCTGTTTCTGGGGTTCAGAAAACTCAGGAGGATTCAGGCTGTCCCACATCTTTTTTTTTTTTTTTTTTTTTAAAGATTTTATTTATTTGTCAGAGAGAGGGCACAAGCAGGGAGAGCGGCAGGCAGAGGGAGGAGCAGGCTCCCCGCCGAACAAGGAGCCCGATGAGGGACCTGATCCCAGGACCCTGGGACCATGACCTGAGCAGAAAGCAGGCGCTTCACCGCCTGAGCCACCCAAGTGCCCTTATCCCACCTCTTTTGATGAACAAGCTGAAGCCCTCAGAGATGGGATTCATATGTGCTCACACAGCTAGCCAGCGGCCAAGATTAGGAGCCAGGTCTCTAAACGTCCAGAAGACTTTCTGCCAAATCACCCTGACTTTAAGTCATCTGCTAGGTGTGCTCCTAAATCCTCTACCTTCTTCTCGACTATCCTGTAGTCACTCAGAGACCATGGGCAAGATTTCCTCGTGGGTGATCGGCTGAGCTGGGCTGATATACAGCTCCTAGAGGTCATCTTAATGGCGGAAGAGTGCAAAGCCAGTGTCCTAGCAGGCTTCCCTCTGCTACAGGTAGTGCTACCCAAATAACTCCCAAGAACTGCAGGAAGGGTGAATTTGTATCATTCACTTATCCCTTCATTCAGTCATTCATTATGACTGAAGAACCCACTAACTGCTTTATGCCAAGACCTGCCCGACAGATACAAAGATGCCCTCAAGGAACACACCTAGTGGGTGAGACAAGCACATACATGATAACCTTGATATAAGGTAGCAAGTTTAAAAGTAAAGTGGAATAGGAAAGCTGATGAGGGCCATCTGGGCCAGCATGGGGATCTGAGGCTGACTTCTGACAGGCTTTCAGTCTCGAAGGTTTTGCCCTGATGTAGCAGAACCTTGATAAGATGACAGAAAACATTTAGGATATTACCATCCTAACACAGTCACTATTTAACAATAACCATAACCATCAACTACACTCTTATGTGGCGGGCGTTGTAACAAGCACTAAAGGCACAGTATCTCACTGATGTTATTCCATTCTCAAAATGGATAGGAAACAAGACTCCAGGAGGTGCAATAACTTTGCCTCAAGCGATACGGTCAGCAGATGATGGGACCCGGACGCTACCCTCGGCCCGATCCCAGGGCTGTGTTGATGGATTCCTTTCTAACCTTTTAAAAATATGCTTCTTTAAAATAGTTGTTGCCCAAGTTGGGGTAATTCTGCAGCCACAATTTCCCACTTTACCTTATGCTGTAAGCATGCTTTGGTATTTTTATGTAGTCTGCCTCATTTGGATACAACATGGTCTACTATTGTTTAAAAATTTCATGATTATATAAAATTCTATGTGCTGTGTTCAGAATAACCTTATTTTAAATGCTGAAAATCATAAACAGTTGAAATATTCAGTACTTGAAAAGGGTCTACATAAATGAAGACACATCCATTGGGTAGAATTTTATGCAACCACCTAAAGGTGTATTTTCCAAGATTACAGAATGACATGGAAAAATCCTCATGACATAAGGACTTCTATTTATTAGTTATACATTAGGATACTCTGGAATATTTACGTTTATGAATAATGTTACAACAGCACCTTCATGGGTATACATTTTTCCACATTTAAGATGGTATCGTTAGGATGCAGTCTGAAAAATGGGGTCACGTGATTACAGTCTATGAACATTTTTGTGGTTCTTGAGAAATATTGCTAACTTGGTTTGTTATGAGGGTAGCATTGCTTCACAAAGCCACACGATGAATGAAAACTCCATTTTATCCCCTGCTCCTACCAGCTATAAGGAATATAATTTTTACACACTTTCTGTCACATGCAAAAATATGCATCATTTATATTTTGTCTGTTTTGCCATATTCTCTTCTCATGGATAGCATACTTCTGCATTTTAGGAATTCAAGGCCAGAATCAGCTACATTCCCACAATTCACAAATTTCTGCAGCCTGGAAGCCAAAGAAAGCCTCCGCTAGATGAAGTTTCCACTGAGACCGTGAAGAACATCTTTAAATTTGAACGTGGCATGTTTCTCAAAAACATGGGCACTATAGTAGCTGAGTATTAGCAAGCAAAGAGTTCTCAAAAACTCGTAAATGTTTCACTTTGCTTTCACAGCAGTGCCTAGAGTGATACCATCAGGCCACTTTAATAAAGTAATAAGCAAAAGCAAATAAACTACCAAATACTTTGCAAACCGGACAACTCTTTTCCATAAATCAATAGAACACCAATAAATCGGAATCATCCAAATAAAGATTCTTCTGCATTCTACTTTTTGCAAAAGAGTAAAATCGTAAGTAAGTCAATAGATCTCAAGGGCTTCTTTAAAAAACAAAACACCCCACAAATACAAATACTGTCACTCACTTCCACATCCTTTTGGAAAAAGTCCAGAACAGGGCATAGCTTCAAGCTAGTTTCTTACTTTTTTTTTTTTTTAGATTTTATTTAATTTTTTTTTAAAGATTTTATTTATTAGCAGGAGAGAGAAAGAGAGAGAGAAAAGACATGAGTTGGGGTGAGAGGCAGAAGCAGAAGGAGAAGCAGGCTCCCTGCTGAGCAGCCCCTGTGGGACTCTATCCCAGGACCCTGAGATCATGACCTGAGCCAAAGGCAGAGGCTTAACCCACTGAGCCACCCAGGCACCCCTAGTTTCTAACTTTCAATCACTAGAGTATTTTACAGATATGGCATATATTTTTATAATCAATTTCACATTTAGTTTCTACTTTTATACTTTTTTCAAACTATAATCATAGTCTGGGGTTTCTATTTGGTTAAACTGGTAGGTTCTTTCTTTCTTCCTTCCTTCCCTTAATTGAATTACGTATCACTGGAAGCCTAATGCTATCCTTGAAAGTGCGCTGGGAAAGGGAACTGAACACAATAGTACCAGTTGGGGCTCCACCCACCACTTCATATAAAGAATGGGTTTGTAATCTGACACCGTGGGGTAGAGGCAACGGGATCAACATGGCAGCTTTTTAGAGCTTTAAGGGATCTCATCAAACCGTTTACTCCCAATTCCTCCTTAAGGATGAGAAACTGAGACCCAGAAAGAATAAAGGACCTTCCAAAGAACCTATAACCAGTCAGTGGGAGAACTGGGCTCGAAGTCAGGTCTCTTGACGTTTAGTCTGGGGCCTAAAAGTAAATGCCGTGGACAGTGTCCTAACTCTACCTAAAAATGAAGTGGTGATTTGTGACAAAATGGACAAAATCATTTTTGTTTCAGAATTCTTACTGTTCCAGCAAGGGAGGATACCTGCTGTGGAGGAAGAGCTCCCAGTCTCTTTCTTGAATAATCGAACATCTAAATGTTGAACATGATTCGAGTATAGAGAGAGGACACTAAAATGAGAGAAACAGGTTTAAAACAGAATGCATTTTATTTGAATACTGAATAGATTGTTAGTACGTAGACAGCGCTGAGAATAGAGGTTTTTTTAAAGGGGAAAATAAAACTGGCAGCAATAAAATTAAAATGCAAGAACTATAATTTCTAATATAACACAAAGGACAAGCAGTTACATCAGCATCTTTTGTGAAGGTCACTTTTGGCATTCCATTATCTGGGAACTTACAGTTTCATTTAAACTTCAGAAAGGTTACAACTATTTAGATACTTGGTTTCTTTCATAAAGTTTGCCTCATGTAAAATAAACTTCAGAAAGGAGTATTTGGAATTGTTAAAAAAAAAAAAAACCAAACCCTTACATATATAAAAGTAGACATGGTAACTGAAAGCATGTATAACGATTTATTGAATATCTTTAACGAGACCATTATCTGACAAGTAGAAAACAGTTGAGTTTTCAGTTTAAAAAAAAATCCCTCAAACTGGTGTTCATTTTGGAGCGTTTCTGTTGTTTGTAATGTAAAATAAGACACGTAATATTCCACCTTGAAGTTTATCTTTTAAATCCAAAGTGTATGCTCTGCCCGTTACAGTAGAATCATATGAATTTAGTCTTCAGTTTCTCTGGATTCTCAGAGCAGCAGTAAGATAAGTCTCAAAATCATCATGAGGCTGGATTAAAATAAAAGGCAAAGAGCGGGTCATGCTTATGTGGCATAAGACAGAGGTTCATATATTCACCTAACCCGTACTGTTACTAAACTTTGGCTTCCAAGATGCTCGCTTCTCCTGGAGCAGGGGTGATCTCCGTAATTATCCCTGTACTGGAACTTCCCAGACTGGTTAAAAATGCTGATTGACTGAGCAAAATCAGAACTCATGATTCTGAAAATCCGAGGTGAACCTTTATAAGAGAAAGGTCTGGAGAGGAACACAAACCTTTCATAAGCTAGTAAGGGCAAGTGGCTTAAAAATAAGAAGCAAGGAACAGTTCTGGGGTGTTATTATTATAATCTCAGCTACTTTCCACGGCCTGAGGTCTTGTTCTTCTTGACCCATAAAACCTACCTCTGATTCCTTCTATCACCAAGATCATTTTTAGAACACAGCCATAACTGGAAAACAGTCCTTGGTAGTCACAGTCCTCCCTGACCCTCATGCCCCCTCCCACCAAGTCATAAACGTAATACACAGCCACATGAGAAAATTCTAAAGGAAAGTAGAATGGAGAAATTTACTCATTGCATTATCAACCAGTGATAAACACTATTAAAGTTTGAAGCATCTCTTTCCTATCTTGGTTTTTTATACACAAACTTCTGAGATCACACTCAGATTTGGTTATTTGCTTTTATCTCCCACTATATCATTAAGATGTTCTAATGTCACTAAATGGTTTTTGAAAATGTGTCATGTAATTGCTGTTCAATATTTCATTAAGTGGACAAAAGCCTTATTGAAACGTTTCCTTACTGATGAGTTTTTAGGTTGTTTCTAATATTTCAGTTTATCATGTGTTCCATTAGAAATAAAGTTGCAATAAACATCAGCCTTTCTATACATTTCATTATTTCTTTGGAATACATTCCAAAAAGTAAAAATGTGTAGCAAAGGAAGTAAACAACATTAAGGCTTTCAACATATAAAGGCTGCCTCCAGGAAGAATTAAAAATGTCACTATAAATTTGTACGTGGTAATATGTTTAATCTCATGGATAGAATTACTGGGATCAAATTAAGAGAAATCGGAGGCTCCCTCTTTATTTTTTTAAAAAATATTAACTGTCCTCCCTTGAAAACTCAAAGAAGTGTAGCAGGCTATCACTTTGTCCAATGCTCTAAGAGAGACTGAGTATCAGATTTAAATGAATACATTTACTGTTTCAGATGAGTAAATCTTGAGGAAAAAAGGCTGAATTCAGTTCTTTATTCTAAAAAATATGAGTACGTGCAGTCAGATACTATAGCAACACTCCATGTATTCCACAAAAATATTCCTGGGGACATCGATACCAAAGATGGACCGCAGGCATGATACTTTAAGGTTTTATAGTCATGCTTACTCTAACAAAAATCACGTTGACCTTTTCAAGTTAAAATGGACTCTTGCCAAAAAGTCCACATTAAATGATGGCAGAAGAAGAAGTACAGAAAAATAGTGTTTCTTACCTTAAACCTGCAACCAGCCCAGCTGGCATGATTTTCTTAGATCTCTTATACCTCACACCCATTATGGTGGCCAGGAAGAAAGCTGTAACTAAAAACCCAACCAATGCATGAACCAGAGTTTCAAACACATTATCAATGCTTGCTCATGAAAAAAAAAAAAAAAAGAGCAAGAGAGAGAGAGAGACATTGTTTCAGCTTTCTAATATAACAGCTATTATGTATAAGTATTAAATTGCTATCTTCTTAAAAAGATAAAATGCTCTCTTAAAAGACTTTATAAACTAGCTTATCAAAAAGGTTTCTGAGTAAGCAACATGTTAAAATCCACTCCTGAAATATCTTCAGAAGAAAAAAATCTTTGTCTAACTTAAATTTCTGTTTGTAGAAACTCCTGGAAGGCTAGGACTGTGTCTTCTTCAGCTTTCCTCACAAACTCTGGGGAGTTTGACTGGACCCACAGGAGACAGCCAATAAATGCTCATTTAAGTGAAAGTAAAGAAAATAATCAGAGTCTTTTAAGTAAGACCTGATGAGTAAAAAAATACTAGGAAAAAAGGCTGATTGATTGTAATTTGCAGTACTGCATTTTGGGAAATGGATGCCTGGAGGCTAAGTAAGAACAGTCTGGGCAATAATATTACACTCAGAAGCATCCCGCCAGCCTTTGAGGAGCTGACCCAGTATGGAGAGAGAATGTTTTATGGAAGAGATGCGGATGGCGATGTCGCAATTTCAGAACAGCTTTCAAGGAAAAATCACTTGCTGATATAAAGAACAAAATGACAGACAATAAACACACGTGAACTACTTAAATGCATGTGAATAAAAAGCCCAAATATCCACATCTTGCTGATATGTTTCTTCTTTTGACACAATTTCATTATTAAAAACTATCCCTAGCTCCTATTTCAAACTAGTCAAGGGAAAAAAATACAACACTAAGTCTCTTTCTCTCCCTTGAAGACCGAACTGATATAATTTGTCTTTATTTGTCCTGTCTTCCATACCACCAGGGCACTCTGAATAATAATCTAATTAAATGGAAACAATTCCCAAACCTTCACGGGATCTCAAGCTAGACTACAGAGAGCCAAGCATCCTGGGCCTACACAAACAGGTTTCCATTTTTACTGTGGACATTCCCCTGCTAAGCCCGATAAGGGAAGAAGCTAAAAAAAAAAGGTCAGCCTTGGTTTTCTAGATCGAGTCCTAGGGTAAAACAGGATCTAAAAGCTGCTTGTGAATTAAATAAAATAACGCGAGGCTGTCTTGTTTGGTATTTTAATACCAACACAAAAACTATGCTAATAGGCACTTAAGGGTATTAGCAGAAAATCTGGACATAATTCCTTAATTTTATTTTTCTAGTAATAAGTTTCATAGAAACATGCTTCTGTGTCTGAAGGCCTGGGAGCAATATCCTTGTTTTTGAGTGGGTCAGTCTAGAAAGGAACAAGAATTATGTTCAGTCTCCACACACGCTTATCTACTTACCACATGACTGCACGTTTTCCAGTATACCTAGTACAGAGTATCAAAAAAGTCACTCCCAAGGTTCGACCCTTTATAACTGGAAAAAATGTCTTACTTACACAATGACAGTTTGACATCTCGCTTGTCATTGGAGACACGGTAGGCTCCATAGCCAGCCAAAAATCCAACAAAAAGACCAGCGATCAAAGATGGAACACCACCTGGGGGGAATAAAAAGGGCTCAGAGAGAAAATCCCCAAATGAAAGGAATTCCTTCCTTTCTTTCAAGAATGATACATGCACCTTCAAATGCGTATCTAAGTGGGCACTATAACTAGACAAAGCCAAATTACATATCTGCCTCTTCATGGACAGTTTCTAATATGACTGGTCCCTGCTGAACCCCGAATGCATGGCAATGCCAGGGTTAGATATGGCTTGAGTGAATATGAAAGCCTGCCTGGTGGTAGCGGTTCTGACCTTGATTGCATGACCCTAGACAATCGGTTGACTTCTTTACACCTGTCTCTGTCCTTTTCTTCCCCCCTCTTCTCCTTGCCTCCCTCTTTTTACTCAGGCTGTGATAATAATAGGATGCAATGGTATTCTAGCTCATAGAGGTAGAAAGAGAAGTCCCATGCAAAGCAAGCGATGGTTCTGTCCTGAATAATTAACAAAGCTTCCAGCCTCGGGATGTCAGGACTCAGGGATGAATGGGGACTGTACTGAGAAATGGGAAGAGCCAGTAGCCTCCCACCCAGTGCTCTCCTGCCCTCAGTCCATTCGTCCACTGCCCCAGGGGTCGGTGACCAACACCAAGCACTTCCGGCCCACCGGCAATGGGCCTCATGCCAGGGACACTGTGCACAAGAAAGACAGACAGACAGACAGACACACACACACACACACACACACACACACACACACGCACACACACACACACACAGTCGGTGCTTCATGGAGCTCACTCTATTTAGAATCTATCAGATTGGAATCCCTCAGGGTAGGGCCAAGGCATCCCTATGTTTTAAATATCTATAGGAAATTCAGATGGTAACCAGGGTTAAAAACCATTGCAGCAATGTGCGCGCACACACACAGCAGCATTCTGAATGAGAAGACACACAAGCTGGGTTCTAGTCCTAATTCTTCCATTTGTTGCCCGAAGGACTTTGGCTAAGGCACTTAGTCTCTGAGTTTTGTCAGTTGCAAAACAGTGTTAGTAATCCCATCCACGTCAAATACACAAAGGCTTAGAATGTTACAGTTGGAGAGAACGTTAAATTCCTCGTTGTTCCTCCCTCCCCCCAAATCTATTCTGCAAACACGGCAACACGGTCTTCTAAAATCATACGTCCAGACTGGTCACTCCGCTAGTTAAAAACTGTCCGTGCTTCCTACTGCACTTAGAGAAAAACCCAAGTCCACTCGATTACAGGAGCCTTGGCCTTCGATCAGGTCCCTGAAGTCTTTATTCTTCATGGCTTCTAGACATGCTGTTCCCTGCCTGGACTGCTCTTCCCTGCCCTGTCCGCCTGGCCAACTGCAGCGCACCTGTCTCTGTAAGGGTCAGCTCCTAGAGACATCTTCTCTGACACACCACTCTGAATGAGGGGCCCCATCAGAGCCTCCCACGATTCGCCATCCTGTATTTGCGCACCTGTCCACGTATTTAAGGTCAGCCCTCCGACTTGCTTGCAAGCACCATCTCTTTTTGCTCACTGCTGTCTTCCAGGGCCTGACCCAGTGCTGGGCACTTATCAGCACTTGATAAACGCTGACAAAATGCAGGCCCGGGCACTCCCTGTTAAATGGGTCATGTTTAGCAGAAGATGGCAGATTAGAAAACAGCCAAGGGGATTGAAGCATTTTCTGGAACGCATGACTAGGTCACCTTAATTAAGGTGTCTTCTCACTCAGGGACCTCGGACTCTTTTCTGTACACCCTGATGAGTTCTGCAATGCTGGGACCCTCCCCACCTGACAGATGTGCAGGCAGGGGAAGCAGCTGCACCCCAAGTCTTGCCAAGGTCAGACAGCAAACAGTGAGGATGGGCAGGCTCTACGTTGTAAGAAGGCTATGGCTCGTGGAAGGGAGCCAGATCCTGCAAAAAAGCTCAGTCTATAGTGGGGCTACCAAAAAAGAAAAAAGAAGTGCCAAGCTGTGCCCCGAAACCCCTCCTTCAAGTGCCAACCTGGCTGGGCCAGTGTCAAGGAGTTTCAACGGGGTTTTCAAAGGAGTTGGGAGGTGCACAGGAGGGCCTCTCTCCCTCAGAGCAAGACACCTGCTCTCCTGTTCCCCTCTTCCTCTCCGGAGGGGCTGCTGTGCCCTGACCTTGAACTAGAGTAGAAGGTAGGTAGCCAGGTTCAGCCCTGGTACAGGAGAAGGCCAAGAGAGCTTTCTGCCCATCTTGGGCTTTGGGCACTGGCTACTTGGCTCAGAAGAAGCCTCAAAATCATAGTGTCTACTTGGGTACGCACTTTTCTGGGGACCTGTGTGGGAGAGGGGTGAACTTAGAACTTGGTGCCGCTGTGCCGCCTCTCTTCCCTTTGCTCCCAGCAAGAGAAGAAATCTCTCAGCCCCTCACTCTGACCCAGCTATGTCCGGCGCTTAGTCTTGGTCTTGTACAGGATTCAGATATACTTGTCCTCTTACCAAACACCATCCTGACATCACATCTTCAACCTACTCAACACTGTTCTCAGTAACTGTCCCGTGAAGGGTCTCTGGGCCGAACTCTAGGGGATTCATGTCTAGGGAAGTTTTAAGTAAAAACAGAAAGAACTGATTCACTTTATACAAAAGCTCTAAGACACTGGGGCCACAAGCAGCTAAGAATATAGAATACAAAACCAGAAAAAGGTATTTTGCCTCACTGGCCCACAGACTCTCCCCCTGGCGGGGAGTAGCAGCAGAAACAAGAATATCAAGACCTTCTTCCAGCCAGGCACTATGTGAAATGTGTTACATGCATTATCTTATTTAATCCTAACTGATCAACATACAAATGAGGAATTGGAGCCCAGAAATTAAAACAACTCACATGAGTACCCGAGCTAGTAAGGAGTAATGTAACGAGCAGAATTTAGGAAAGCCTGATGCTGTGGCTTGTGCTCTTAACCCACATTACACGGAAGTGGGCTTCTTTGCGAACACATGCCCCCAGGGGCTTCCAGGATCACATAGTTGGGGGCTCCTGTAGGAGGCCAAGGGACCATATTGTGCAGCTGAGCCATCATATATTTTGGTACCATCAAAATATATGATGGCACCAAAATATATGATGGCACGATGGTGCCTTCCATTGAATACATATGCTACACCCATTGAGAAAGAACATAAGAGCAACAAACAAAAGTCCAAGTGAATTAGAGGTTCTCAGGAATCTTAGAAAATACTCTGTTTTAACCATAAGAGACTCTTAATCTCACAAAACAAACTGAGGGTTGTGGGGGAAGGTGGGGGGGATTTATGGACATCTGGGAAGGTATGTGCTATGGTGAGTGCTGTGAAGTATGTAAACCTGGCGATTCACAGACCTGTACCCCTGGGGCTAATAATACATTATATGCTTATAAAAATAAAAAATTATAAAAAAAAAGTAAAAGAAGTAAACATTGTAGAATGAAAAAAAATACTCTGTTTTAAAATGCCACCCCTCAGTCCCTACAGAGACCTGTGTTTCTGGCCTTGGACTTCTTAGCAATCGCTAAATAAGGGGTCCCTCTAATACCTATGTAGACCTGGCTTTTTCACTCAAGTTGCAGCCTACCAATGTCACAAATAGAACCTTTCATTTTTTTGCATGAAAACTTATCAACTGTTTTTTTTTTCTCCCCTCTTTTGGATATAGATGAAGAGACAATCTCTGAGAAGATATCTAAGTATTTAACAAATTTTCCTTTGCAAAACACAGTATCAACATAATTCAGTTTTTGATACTAGGAGTATGTAAACAAACAAAAATCCTCATTTGATAATAGGCGAGTAGCCCTGAGGAGGTTAAGTCAATTAATTACACAGTTGATAATGACAGGTGAAGAGAGACCCAGACAGCTGGGTTGGGTTGCTCTGTCATACCCAGCCCCCTACCCTCTACAACTCCCTTCCATGCAAGACATGCTGGTCCTCAGTTACTCTAGGACCTCTTCAGCTTCCTGTCTTATTTACAAACCCTCAGATGATCTTTTTTTTTTTTTTACATTTTTTTAAAATTAAATTTATTTATTTTTTTCAGATGATCTTCCAAGTGTTCCAAGACTCATTGTTTATACACCACACCCAATGCTCCATGCAATAAGTTCCCTCCATAATACCCACCACCAGAATCACCCAACCCCCCCACCCCTCTCCTCTCCAAAACCTTCAGCTTGTTTCTCAGAGTCCACAGTCTCTCATGGTTCTTCTTCCCCTCCAATTTCCCCCAACTCACTTCTCCTCTCTTTCTCCCATGTCCTCCATGTTATTCCTTATACTCCATAAATAAGTAAAACCATACAATAATTGACTCTCTCTCTCTGCTTGACTTATCTCACTCAGCATAATCTCCTCCAGTCCCGTCCATGTTGATACAAAAGTTGGGTATTCATCCTTTCTGATGGAGGCATCATACTCCATTGTATATATGGACCATATCTTCTTTATCCATTCGTCTGTTGAAGGGCATCTGGGCTCTTTCCACAACTTAGTGATTGTGGCCATTGCTGCTATGAACACTGGGGTACAGATGGCCCTTCTGTTCACTACATCTGTATCTTTGGGGGTAAATACCCAGCAGTGCAATTGCAGAGTCATAGGGTAGCTCTATTTTTAATTTTTTAAGGAATCTCCACACTGTTTTCCAAAGTGGCTGCACCAACTTGAAACCCTCAGATGATCTTAGCACAACCACCAATCCCCTACCAAGGCCCTTGGATGAAAAACACAGTTAAGGCTTACCTCTCCGCTTATATCCCAAGATGCTTCCAAACGTCACAAGGGCCGCATAACCAAAACCGATCAGGTCCATTGGCAAGGTTGCAATTCTACTACTGGATGAAGGGACAAGTTTTACAACATAAAAAGAACTGGGGGGAGCATAGGTAATACAAAAATGGTATGTATTCCACGGAATTACAGAGATTAATTTCAAGCTCAGCCAGAAACATGCATGCTTAATCAATGGCAAATCACTGACGAATATAATGAAGCTCCTGGCATAAAATCATGTGAGTGATGAGAATATCCTATGTGTCTCATAGCAGCAGTTGAAACATAGACCTAGGGGTGAGAAGTTCCATGAAAATCCTACCCAGGAATCCGTAAGATGCAGGAGAAAGTGTGCTGGCTACAGGCTGGAGACATGGGTACCGGTCAGTGGCAGGCTGTTGGGCCTTGACTCATGCCCCATCCCTGACACTGACTCCCCCCTAAAGTGAGGGGAGTAGATGAGATGAACCCTAAAGTTCCTTGCAGCTTTCTAATTCTTTTAATTTCTGATTCCCAGTGCCACTTCTATATCTATATGCAGATAAAACTCATGTCTTTCAGATCTGTAAAGTTCTAGATCAGTCACCTCCATTGGTCTCACAGCTTCAAGCTGTGATCACACTGCATGCCTTCCATCTTCAGCCCTGTCAACTTCTCATGGTCCGTCTGACCTACTGTTGTTCCCAAAGACTTAATCGAATTCCACAGTGTATGCTGGGCTCCAAGCCTGCTGCCACTGCCTGCTAGCTACGTAACATTGTGCGTGGTCCCTAATCTCTCTGCAACTCAGTCTCTCCATCTGTAAAATACGGATAATGATAAAGTTGCCTCACAGGGTTGTGGTGATTAAATGAGGTAATACTGAAGAGCGCTTACAACAGGGCCTGCATGTACTGGGCACTCATCAAATACTAGCTGCTTGAATAATGATTGTTCTTCTCTTTTACCCTATACCCATTTTTAAGCTTGACATGTGTGAGGCCATAACTGTGCCAGCTTGCTGAGAAAACAACAGAGATGGAGTGAATTTATGACTCAGGCACTCAGTGAATCAAACCATAATGTTACAGCTTATGCTCAACTCCACTTAACAACTATTTATTGAATGTCTTCTTTTTTAGGAAAATATTTTATTTAATTCTTTGACACAGAGAGAGAGCACAAGCGGGGGAGTGGCAGGGAGAAGCAGGCTGCCTGCTCAGCAGGAAGCCCGATGTGGGGCTTGATCCCAGGATCCCGGGATCATGACCTGAACAGAAGGCAGATGCTTAACCAACGAAGCCACCCAGGTGCCCCTGCACGTCTTCTTTGTGCAAGGCAGCAGGAAGGCATGGAAAGTCCTTGGACTTGGCTTTGGCCTTTTAATATAGCACAGCAGAGGAGAAAGATGTGTGGATGAGCCCTATGAGGAGATGCACAGGCACCATATCAAGAAGTGGAGTCTACGGTGACTTGTGAACCTAAGGGAGGATTCCTAGAGCAGACAGGGTCCCGGCTGGGATCTTGGGGAGAGGAGGAGTAAGCCGAGCGAAGAGGGTGGCCGGGAAGGATGTGTTTTAGGCAGCAGGGAGAACGTGTGCAAAAGCCTACTGGCATGAGAAAGCATGGCCTGTTCTCAAAATGGACAGGCGAGCAGGGCAGCTGTGAAGATACGGGCCTGGGGAAAAAGACAGGGCCAGGACACTTCTGAGTGCTGTAAAGGGAGGATGGGTTCTGTCTCAAGGGTAGTAGGGAGGACCGAAGGGAGTCTCTCCACCAGATTTAATTCCAGCCAGTGCTTCCTTGCAGTGGTAGCGGGAGATGGGACAAAGTGAAGCAGGAAGCTGAGCTAAGCCAGAGCCGGTGGTGGCCTGGCCTGGAGCAACGGCAAGGAGGGTGGGTCAGCTCTGAGAGACGTTTAGGAAACAGAATCAATAAGCCTGGATGTGGGGAGTTCAGGGGAGGGATGAGTCAGAGATGACTCACGTCTAGGTCTCTGGATTGGCGCACCAGGAAGAAGAGGTGGGAGGCGGGGGGCATTGATGCTCCTCCCGGAGATAGGGAGCACTGGACCAGCAGGCATGTGGTAGCAGGCGGAGGGAGGAATCCAGGAATGGTGGGACCTACCTGAGACCTAGTCTAAGATGCCTGACACACAGTGAGGAAAACACCTCTACACACAGATCGGAAGCTTATGAGATCACTCATCATCAGGTAGTAATTTGGGAACCTAATTTTCTCCTTAAGCTGGCCACCTGATGTAAGAGGCTGATTCTTCTTTGTCCTCTGAGCTCCCAGTCTTCTTCTGACCCTCTCCTGGGGCCTCACCCCTTCTACCTGGCATCGAGTTACTTACATTGAGCTCCCATCCCTACCTCCCATCCCTGCCATGCTCCTCCGGGGCTAAGCTCAAATTCAGCTCACCTTTGTCCTCCCCACATCACCAAGCTCACGGCCATGCACAAGGCAGAGTGTGCAGAAATACTTGTTGAATGAACCAAAGGAACAACTTTTGCCTGAAGGAAGACATTCTGTAACTGGTCAACCCTCAGTATAGTTCTACTGCCAGGCAACAGTCTGTTCCCTTAATCTCCTTACTGAGCTGAGTATTCTAAGGAGGCAAAATACATACACCTATTCCCAATCCTTGCAAGAAGTTTCTGAATACAGAGAGAAATTGCAGACAAAAAGCAAACATCCCTCTTGCTCCATGTCCATGGCAGGACCACATGACCAGAACCACACAGGGAAGTGATGGAAGTAGGCGCTGATGGGCGCCTTGCTTCACAGGCTCTCACTGAAAACACTACCTCAGTGCTTGGAGAGGCCAGAAAGCGTCTCGGGTGCAATGCAGCAAAAGTGATTTACTGCACCGCGTATGAAACCAGGTGACAGGGCCCTGCCTTGCCCCGAGCCCTCCAAAATTTGGGGGACCCACTAAGAGATTTTCCGTAAGCTACTGTATAATAAACTACCTACCTTTGTACTCCTTGAGGGCTCGAAAGACCATTTTCGAATGAAGTCTGGGTGGTACTAGCAAGGTTAAACTGCCAAGCGTTTTTGCCATGGTCAGAGAACCCCATCCCTTCCCCGCCTCTCCCCAGTTCCAGGAAGGTCGGAAGGAGGACAGGGGGGAGATTCAGGGCCGCGGAAGGAAGACATTCCGGGAATTCCCAGGAGACGGAGAGAAGCGATGCTTGGAAGAAGCAGCCCCCATCTCCTGCAAAATCCTCCCCAGGTCATTAGCATCTTTGCTCAGATCTGTGCCTTTACAAGAAAATTCAGGAGAGGAAGTTCTCGACTGCGTGGTTTACAGCTCACCTGCAGCCCCGAGCCCTCCCCGCGGCTTAAAAGAGAAAAATCGGGAGCCAGCCTAGGGCTAGCCTCGTACCTGGTGTCCGGAAGCGGTCCCCGCTGCCAGCACCTCCTGATTCTGCGCGCTACCTCCCCGCCCTGGCAGAGCCTGCTGGTTCGGGGCGGTGCCGGTCCCGCGGTGCGCATGCGCCAAGGCTTGCCCGTTCCTCCGCCCGGCGTGCCCGGCACAGGCTGCGGACCCCGAGGCCATTCGGTTCCTCCGCCGCTCGCTCTTTCTGCCCGGCTTTCCGCTCTGGCTCTACAGCCGTGCTGGGGTCTGCTGCCTCCTGCCGGATCCGGCGGGACTGGGAAGCCCCCGCAGAGAATAGGTCTGGGTGTAGCCAGGATCCCAGAAGGCGGAGTTTTAACCTTGAGGTTCGTCCACCACTCAGAGGACAGCAATCAGGCCTTTTAGATTCTCGCCAGCGACTGTCCCCATTTTCAGTGCGGGGAGCTAAGGTTCAGACAGATGGGGTGATTGGGTTGTCCACGGTCTCAGGTCCTAAGTGGGGTACAAAAGTTAGAGCCCAAGTTTGTCTGGTTTCTAAGCTGGAGCTCCCTTCATTATATCACACACATTATATCACTCCCTTCATTATATCTCCACTCGAGATGTGGAGGGGAGCTCAGGATCCCGGTTTTATACTCCACGCCCAGGATTTGCTGGGCCTAATTACGTGAAGGGAAAGGTAGAGACTGACAGACGTGCAATGCGCTTTAAGCCATGGCTAGTCCCAGGATCATCCGATCCCGGAAATGAATTCAGTGGATTTGGAATTGTTCCTCCTGGCAACAAATGCGCATTTCATGCCACTTTTGCCTTCCAAACCACATACTAGAACTCCAACCAGACTCCTTACCCATCCTTACCCTAGCCTCCCCCAACCCTCTCTTCAGACTTCCAGGACTTGCCCTATCCAGAATAAAACTAAAAACCCTCTTGGAATGCTTCCCTTATCTTTACCTGATAGGACCTCCAGTAAATAACTTGTCCCTGACTTCAGACGTCAGTGCCTGGATTTATAAGATGCTGCTCAGAGATCCCTTTGACCCTGTCACTGAGGTATGGGAAGCTGGAAACAGTCCCATGATATTCCTACTCAAGGCATTTTCACCTAAACCTAAAAGATTAACTTTCTATGATGGGAAATTCCATATTCTTGGACATGTGGGTTCACAAACGTTCTTAGACAAAGGGGTCGCTGTCCTCTCAACTCATATGCCAGCTAATAATAAGGTTAGAGCGCAAGGCAAGGGTGCCTTGCCAAGCATATTTGTCTCTACCTATTTGTCAAACTGTCTGTTCATGATCCCAGCAGAGACAGATGGCCCTATGATGAGCCATCAGTTGCCTTTGGCAGTCTGGAAAAACACACGAACAATAAAAAACAGGATTTCCAAGGAAGCCAATTTTATTGAAATACAGTTATGAAATTATTAAAAATTTATATCTGCGATCTAATAAATGTGCTTCTTTATCATATTATAGGATCTCAGAGTGGGGATAATAATACCATAATTCCCAAGTGGTGCTGCACCTAAACAATATTTTCGGGTATCTGGAACATGCAAATATCTGCTCGTGATGACAGAGTCACAGGTACTGATACTGTGGTGGTTTGTGGCCTATGAAGCAAATGCTAGACTTTAGAGGTTAGTGAGGATAGAAATTTCTTTTCTCCATCCCTGTTCTCAGATCTCCTGATTTCCATCCTCAGGCCCCTTTGGATTTGCAGAACTCCCAATGTATAGTAACACAGGCTTTCCTAAGTGGTGTATGGGTGGAACTGGAAAAGAGGAGAGTACAGTTGAGAGCCCGACTGACTGACAGACTGGCCGCTCGCTCAGGCAGGACCTCACAGGATGTTTAGCCCTCAGTGAGTGCTCTGTGGATCCCGAGCCTAATCCTCGTTTTTAAACAATGTTCCCAAACTCAGTCTGTATCAGCTCTTCTGTGGGCACCCTGGGTTTGGGAGATTAATTCATAAAAACCAAAGTCACGGGGCACCTTCAGTTCAGGTCGTGATCCTGGGGTCCTGGGATCCAGCCCCGTGCTGGGCTCTCTGCTCAGTGGGGAATTTGCTTCTTCCTCTGCCCCTCCCCTGCTCATGTTCTCTCTGTCTCTCTTAAATAGATAAATAAAATTTTAAAAAAAATTTTATTTGACAGAGAGAGGGGGAGCACAAGCAGGGGGAGGGGCAGAGGGACAGGGAGAAGCAGGCTCCCTGCTGAGCAGGGAGCCTTATGCAGGGCTTGATCCTAGATCCTGGGATCATGACCTGAGACAAAGGTAGACGCTTAACTGAATAAGCCACCCAGGTGCCCCAAGATAAAGAAAACCTTAAAAAAAAAAAAAAAATAGAAGTCACAAGAGACTTACTGATTTTTAAGCAAATAAAAAAAGTCTGCTTCAGGTCCGTGATCCTTCTCTTCTTCTAGATACCACAGGGTTACTGATCATTTAGGCCTCTGCTCATCAGTAAAAGAATTTTTTTAAAGATTTATTTGAAAGAGAGAGAGAGGGCACAAGTGGGAAGAGGGTCAGAGGGAGAAGGAGAAGCAGACTCTTCACTGAGCAGGGAGCCCTATGTAAGGCTCAATCCCAGGACCCTGGGATCATGACCGGAGCCAAAGGCAGACACTTAACGACTGAGCCACCCAGGAGCCCCAGTAAAAGAAATTTTGAACAAGCATCCCAATATATGTATATTATTTCTAAATTAGACACCTACTGCTGTGCTAATATGCTGTGCATATTTTTAAATACAAATATATAAATCAAAATAAGATACATAATGCAAGACTTTAAAAGGAGAACATGAATAGGATGAAACAGAGATTTCCTATGCTTAATTAAAAATGACATATTTCTGTTCCATGGTACAGTAGACTATTTTTATTCTTTCTGTCTTCTTTCCCAATAATACTTTTCTGAACTGTTTGCAGTCTTTAGGACATCCTTCTTTTTTTTCATGTAGTGGTAAAACTGAATACTGTCAAATGTAAAATTCACTCTGACCTGCAGCTCTGCTCTCCTCAAGCCCATGTGACACGGATTCCTTGCATCAGCCCAGTGTGATGACGTTAGGCTAAATATCCTTTCAATAAAAGTGTGTTAGCATGGAATAGTTAGGATTTTACTTACTAGCAACAGCAGGCTTTTAAATTTGTAGGCATTTGCTTTCATTTCTCCAAAAAGGTCCACCCACTTTGTGTCCACAGGCTTGTTAAGGTCAGCAGTTTGTTAATCAGGTCCTTTGTATCTGTAAATTCATCATATAGGCTGTCATTTTTTAAAAAGATTAATTTATTTGAAAGAGAGCACAAGTGTGCACATGAGCAGGGGGAGGGGGAGAGGGAGAGAGAGAGAATTTCAAGCAGACTCCCTGCTGCGTACAGAGCCCAGCACAGAGGCCAATGTCACGACCCTGAGATCATGACCTGAGCCCATTGGATCAGTTGGATCCATAACCAACTGAACCTCCCAGGCACCCCAATATCCATAATTTTTAAGCACTCTGAAGCACACTGTAAGCCATCATAAGGTGAACATCTCCTTCTCAGGGAAAATGGTTTTGAGGCATAGAGATAATTTGAACTGGTAAAATTGAAGTTGGGTTCCAAATAAGCTACTGTCTTAGTAAAGAAATTAAGAAGGTCCTGTTTAACTTGATTACCTTTTTCTGGAGACTTTTTTTTTTTTTTTTTAAGTTCTGAAGCAGTCTTATTTCCAAAAAATGAATAATTTTTCTGCTGTATGAATTTTTGTCTCAACTTATACATAACATCAGACAGTTCAGGTGTGGTCTGTTGATCCTTTTCTAGGCTTCCTATAGCCTCTTCAAAGACCATCAGTTGTGGAGACACAGCATATAAATTTTTGTTTTACCATACACCTCTTATCCATTTCCATCTTCAATATATTTCCAAATCAAAGAAGAACAGTCTTCTTGTCCCAAATGTTGAAACTATGATTTTATGGTAGGCTGACACTTTACAATCTTTTCTGTGACTGGGAGCAATGAGGTCCATTTTGTAGGCACATATCTAACAAGGCTATCTTCTTCCACTTCTTTAAAGTCAAAAACCTCATTAAGAGATTTTGACGAAACTGAAAAGTGACCAAAAACTTTCCTTATGAAAGTCTCAATATCATATATAAACAAATCACAACCCTTCCCTTTTTTTTTTTTTAAAGATTTCATTTATGTGAGAGAGAGAGAGAGAGAGAAGGAGCAGGGGGAGGGAAGAGGAAGAGAGACAAGCAGACTTCCCGCTGAGCAGGGAGCCTGATGTGGGGGTTCGATCGCAGGACTCTGGGATCATGATCTCAGCTGAAGGCAGATGCTTAACTGACTGAGCCATCCAGGCACCCCAAACCACAACCCTTTTTAGGAGTGTCATATACAAGATGTGCAGGGCATTGAATAGGTAAGATCTTTTCATTTTCTCTGGTGAGACACTTATAGACTGAGTGGGATTTGCCCAAATTTACATGGGCACTGTCTGATGAATGTGGAGATAGATGAGCTAAGTCTAGTTTGTATTTGGGCAAAATATCAACAAGTCTTCTGCTTTGTGATTCCAGCAGTTCCATTAAAATCCTCTAGAAATCGGGAAGGTAATATGAAATCCCATTTTTCAAGTCAAGGGACCTAAGAACTAGAGGGAACATTTTTTTGTTGCCGTGGTTCAGTGCATAGACTGTAGAAAGCACAATGGCTGGTGAGAAAGGACCAAATC